GCCTTACTCCGCGCAAGGGGGATGATCGCAACACGTTCTGTTGAAATGGTCAAGCACCCTCGAGGCAGTTACACAGTACTTACAACTGTCTCTGGAAGTGAAAGCACCAGAAAATAAATTAAGTCATTCGCAGCTGTCATCCGCATGCAAGGAAGTAAATACAAGATGCCGAACACCCTTAGCAGGATGCAGCGCACCCGCCATGCGACTCGCCGAATCCCTCACGGCGCTTTGCGCTTGGTATGTGAGAGCCTGGTCCGGTGAGAACCCGGCGTGCTCCGTCCCGGCTTTGTAGGGATGCGAGGTCAATGGTCTAACGACTACGGCATGCACGACTATGAGTANCGGCGCTTTGCGCTTGGTATGTGAGAGCCTGGTCCGGTGAGAACCCGGCGTGCTCCGTCCCGGCTTTGTAGGGATACGAGGTCAATGGTCTAACGACTGCGGCATGCACGACTATTGAGTACACCCCCCCCCCTTAAAAACTACCCCCGGGGTAACTGAGAGAGAGAGAAGAGGTGCCCGCAGTTTTCTGATTGGCCAATTTTTTTAACGATCGTTCCAAAGAAAGGGCAAAAAATCCCTGGTCGTCCGATGTTGTCATCCACGTCGACGAAGCCGCATGTTCTCCGTGAGATTCACAATTTTCAAAATTTCAAATTTGCCATGCATGAGCAATGATGAGGATTGAGTCGATGATGTCGCCGGCTGATGGATGGACATTCTCCGGTCAGCACAACGGTAGCATCGGGGCAGCGCCGAGAGAGGCATCCTTAGCGAGCCCTCTGAATGGTACGTCCGATCGTTTTCGTGTGGTGGGTGGTTTGGACTGCTGTGGACGACTCTAACAACTAAATATGACTGCTGCTGTATTTCTGCTCCCGAGCAGACAGAGAAAGGTAGAAACAACATTATCAGTCAGTCAGTGTTGGAATGGAAACGGACTAACACAGCAGGCACAAGTACCGTTAGGCTATGGGGGAGGCTATGGGGGCTACATACGACAGCAGGAGTAGGATGCTGCCACCGCTGTCACTCTGCTGCACCTGGAGTTCGGAGGTCTGTATGTTGTCGATGGGTGTTGTCTACGGACACCGAGAAACAGCCGCAGAAATCTACCGGCCTTTTACACGGACGCGTAGGTAGTGTTTGATTGGCCAATCTGTTACACCGCCAGCTGTGA